ATCAAAGAAGATTTGACATAGGTAATATGACGGTTTCTAACAACATAAAAAAAGTCTAGTCAATATGGTCTCAAACTTCCTTATAAACTTACAATTTATAATAATTATAAATGTGTTATAACATATAAGAGGATAGAATGTATATAAGATGAATCTTATTTTCTTACAGAAATACTGTTGTAATGTCTAAGTTTCACAAAGATTTCTGACATCTAGTATTTTTATACTGACCATACACACACGCATTTTCTTACAACAAACCATGAATGTTGGTTATGCCTGAGTGATAAGAAATAAAAACTATTATTTTCTTTTTACTTATCTGAATTTTCTAGTTTAGTTGTAATAAAAATATTTTAATTCTATAAAAAAGAACTCTCAGTAATATTTTTATCTATCAATTTAATAAGAGAATATAATAAAAAATCACATATGTTGGTGAAGGAGCTTACATAGAGATACAGAGAGATATACAAGCACAGAATTAAACAAATAACCAACACAAATGGAGGAAAAGAAAAATAAGACACACACACACAGTATCTGAGGAAAAAAACAAAACAGAGGTCCTCTAGAGCAGGAGTCCCCAACCCCAAGTCGCAGACCGGTACGGGTCCGTGGCCTGTTAGGACCCAGGCCACACAGTAGGAGGTGAGCAGGAAGTGAGCAGTGGGCGAGCAAGTGAGCAAAGCTTCATCAGTCTGTGCAGCTGCTCCCCAGCACTAGCATCACCACCTCAGCTCCACCTCAGATCTTTAGGCATTAGATTCTCAGAGGAGCCCCGGTACCTGGACCCAAAAAGGTTGAGGATTGCTGTTCTAGAGGAAGGTCAGATGTTGAAGTAATCACTGTAGAGATGTTATAGAAGTATACAGAAAACTGAATAGATTAAAAACTATAAATAGCACTTTCTGAAAACTTCCTTTTCCTAGAATTTCAAAATCATAGCTGACTTTCTTTTTTACAGTGATGCTTTTAGAGGATAACGCTTTCAAAAAAGAGTATTGAGGCTTGATTTTGTTACTTAAAGCAAAAAAGTACACAAATGAATTCCATATTAATTATCTCAAAATCAAAATTTGAATAGTCATGTGCTATCTGAATTATATAATCAATACTTTCTACACAATGGCCTTGCATTTCAAATGAAAGTGGAAAATAAAGTAAAAAAAATAGACTCAGAGAAAAATGAGTATAATAAACCTGATGTGATACTTACTCAGCATTTTGATCTGTAGAGCTATGAACTGGTTTTCCCATTCTCTAGACCTCCTTTGATTAGGTAAAGCTGAATGATCTGAATTTAGTAATTTAAAATAGTTCTCCAGAATAGTACTGGTTTCCACTTGACGCTGGTCAGAGCTGCTCGTGAGAAGAATATGTACCACTTCTGTAAGGCACTTCAGAGTAAGTTCTACCTTCCTATCTACTTCTTCAGGATTTCCGCCCTCCCAGGAGTCACAATCTGCCAGAACTCTCATAAGAACTTCCATGGTGGCTGGAGAAATTGCTTGCAAAGCATTCCTCTGAAACATGAAAGAAAATAAAAATGAAATCCAAACCTAACTGAAGTTCTATATGTTTGCAAAAACAAAGAGAATTTAATAAATCTTCACACAACTTTTTATTTTAATAAATCAACATATAAAAAAATTTTAAAGATACTTTGCTAGTGTTTTATGCATGTCTTCATTTCCTCACTAACAGAATTCCGATTTTATTCAGATAGTAATCTGCCTACATAAAAAACTCACCACCCTCCCTTGCAGTTAGGAATAGCCATGGGATATAGTTCTGGTCAAGGATATATGTCAGCAGACTATGAAAAGGATATCATTTTACAAATAATAAGGAAAAGACAACCCTTTGCTCTTGGCCTTTTTACCTGTTTCCGGCCTGGTTGCTTAGAGCCACCTTTACATCACAAGGAAATAAACCCAAGAATTAAAGTATGCAGGCTACAGAGAGAATAGGAATATCAAAAGACCATAGTCCTTGATGATAACATTGAGCTGCTGTACCAGCCCAGAACTGTCTACATTTTCTTAAACAAGAATAAAAGACAAAACAAAACAAATAAAACCACTTTGATTTGGTTAAGCCTCTCTTAGGTTTTCTGCTGGTTATAGCAAATCCATCTCAAATAATATACATATATAAAAGGACTAGCATGGCTCTGAGTCTACAGACATATTTCTGAAATTCTAAGAGTGACTGAAGTGATCTACTAAACTTAAAAATAAATATATATTGCCTTAAATTGTTAAAAAGATAAATAATGAATAAAAAGACAGTCATGCAAAATCATATAAAAATAACAGCACTGAGGCCATTAGGATTTATTACCAACATTAATAAATAATATTGATATAACAAGTCCTATTATGGAAGAAACTGCTGATGGCCCATCCAACATCTATTTTCCTCTGCTTCCTTATTAACAGAATCCCTGATATTTTACTTGGCTACCAGAAATAAAGACTACATTTCCTAACTTCCCTTGCTGCTAACAGGGCTAAGGAAGCAAGTTTTAGCAAATTTTTTCTGGACGTATTTGCCCTTTCTATAGTCATCTGATGGAGTTCAGCAAATGAGATAAAGACTGTTTCAGTATTTCCTTTAAAGATAGTTGTCACATGCCATTTGTCTCCTTCTTCATCTCCCTATCCGCCTCTGTGCCTAAAATGCAGATATAATGGCCAGACACTAGAATCTATCTTGTAGCACAAGAAATAACAACAAATTGACATTCGGAAGGAACCTGAGTCCCTGAAGATCTTAGAGCCACCAGATTAACTCTGGATCGCTATTTTTTTTTTTTTAATGCAAGAAAAAAATAAACTTCCAAATCAAGCTGTTATGATTTTAGAATTTACTGCTACTTACAGGGCGTCATAAATCTGATATACCTGTTATTTACTTAGTTCTCATGAGTGCAGGTGCTTTAAATGCTTTATATATATTACGTGTTATTTGGTCCTTATGACAACCCTGTAAGTATTACTATTTCCATATTATAAATAAAGAAACTATAACACATATAGTTTATCCAAGGTCACAAAGCTACTTAGAGATGGACATGGAATTTAAACCTATGTCAGTCAGGCTCCAAAGCCCTTGCTCTTTACACAACACAAAACAAAACAAATATGCCAATGAAAAGCCCGGGCAAGACGCTTTGGAAAGGAAGACCAGTCATTAGACTTTTCCATTCTTTATGATAAGGCCATTCTTATGCCTTTAGATATTTCATTCATCCAAATATCCTAGTACCAATGCTATATTCAACAACACCTTCTGACTTCAATACAGCTGTAACTATAGCTATAATCTGATTATAAGGATTTTGAATGTTTTCAGTACACAAAATAATAAACTGGCTTTCTAGTATCTACTTGCTTTCCATCTGAGTTTTAATTACTGGAAGTCTCTCAGGGCTTGATCATCCGTGGGCCCAAACAAGTCTCTGTGTGTTCAAAAGGGAATGGGATCAAATAAGCTTCTCTATTAGTTAAAAACAAGGTCATTCTCAATTTTACTCACATATACATATTAATTTTTATTTAGTAGTGGAGGAATGATGGAAATGGGAAGATACTGAGGCAAACAAAGGATATCACTTAAATAAAGGCAAATGACAAAGCAAACTAAAAAATACAATTTTGGTCACCATCTTACTCTTCTATTAGAGTGAAGAGAAGACAGCAAGGCAGCCCACCAAGAAACTCTGTGATTTTGTCACCAACAGAAATCATATACATTTTCATATATTATAGTTGTTGTATCGTAAAACATTTATGCTCATCTCTTCTTGAAATTACATTAGTTACTAAACTTGCCGGTATATACTTTTATTTCATGTGTTATAAAGAAGCATGTATTATTACGTCACAAATTTGTTTTATTAATATTTTAGTATCTGCATTTCAATAAATTAGTTTTGTGATCTTATATGTTTTATTTTAGGCATTCAAAAACATTCTGACAAGGGGCATTCTCCAACTGCCAAAGTGGTATGTGATACAAAAAATGTTAAGAAACTTCTACTAAACTCTGTAGTTAAAGAAAACACATAGAATGTTCTTTCTGAACTATAATCCTGTTTTCAACTAGTAATTATACTCAAAGTTTACCACAGAGAGCTTTTAAGATGTTCAATTTAAAAAAAAAAAAAACCAGAATTTTTTTCTTAAGAGTTTGTTAAAAACCTTTATATGCATTTAGTCATTATATGTAGATAGAGGAGTGACTAAATTCATGTCTTAGGAAATCAAACTGCTAGAGCTTGACTTTATCAAGTGGACTAATAGGGCTGACTATCCTCTGTACTCTAAAGCAGAAACTACTATAGGAGTTGAAAGTCAATATAACTAAGAACATATAATACCAAAAATTGTTAAATCTGGTTATGCATTCACTTTACTTTTAGTGCTAATATTATTAGGTTTCTTGGAAGTTAATAAATGAAAGAAATAAGTAGATTAGTTTTAAGCAAGATATAAACTTAGAAAAATATTCATATGCTTTATGAAATTACAAAAAGACAAAGAATATATTAAATAATCCATGGAAACCTCTTTTGCACTATTAACTATTATTTTATATATTAACATTCAACACTTTCCTCACCTGACCACCAGCTATAATGGCTCCAAAGAGATGCAATAAGCAACACTTAAGGCTTTCCTTGAGATGTTCACTTTCCTGAAAACACTCTGTGAATATAATACACAAACAAACAAATAAGACTTTTCTTTCGCAGTATGATTTATGTTTAAGGGATGTCTGACACTGAAACATTAAGAAACATTAAGAAAAGGTTAAAATCTTTAAAAGGCAAGGTTGATATGTATTTTTTCAAAGGAAAGAAAAAGAAATCATTTGTCTGGTAGTATTTTAAACGCTTTATTTATGTTATCAAATTTAATTCTCATAACACTTCATATGAGGATATTTTGTCCCCATTTATAAATGAATGTATGGAAGGTCAGAATTTAATATCTTGCCTAAAATCACAGGGCTACTAAATAACACCAAAATCAAAGTAAGAAAAATTGGAGCTATTACTTACGATAAAAGAAAGGGACAAACTCCACAGTCAGAGAAGCTGGTTTATATTTCTGTCTGCTCTTTTCCACCGTACTAATGATTCGTCTATGATTAAAAAAGAGTTAATACCAAATTATATCATAGGCATGTAGAGATGGCACAATTACAAAAATAATTATAAAAGAAATTTAATATTTTACATTTGATTTGTGTACTGAATAATACATCTTCAGGACTGACAATCTTAAAAGGAAGTCTAGCCAATAAGCTAATGCTCACCAATGAAAGAGTTTCTTCTTTTGAAGTGAGCAAAAGTTTTAAATGCTTAATGATGAAACAGAGCAGTCCAAGTTAAGTCTCAAAACTCGAAACAGAAAAAGGAACTAGCCATTTAAAATTTCCAATCTACAAAAGAACTTGTTCAGCAGTACTGTTAATCTGATACTTAAGGTAGTAGCTTATTACTACAGTGCAAGTGAAATTCATCAGAAATCAGGCTACTTTGTGCCATTTTCTGAAATTTTATCTGGACACAAAGAGTCCACACTACTGGCTTCTTCCACCTTAAAGATACAACTTCAGTATAAGCTGGGATTATTTTTGTTTTTTAATTCCAGTAGTTTTGAGAGCTGAAATATTTCCAAAGACTTTTATAAAGCCAACACAAATAGCATGTACTTTTACCAACATTTCAATTCAACACAAAATGAGTCTCTTAGATGGACATGGTAGTGTGGGGAATTGGGGATTAAAGGCTATTGTAATAATGATACATCCAACAGGTAGACTGCTAAAAAAGTTTTTAAAAAACATATTTTTTATGCCCTGAAAAATCTCTTAACATTGATAGATAAAACCAACAAAAAATGGAACAACCACATAGAAATTCTATACACCTAAATATGATCTACTGATAAAGTGCTGAATTAAGACATCTTCTTCTTAACAACTATAACTGAGATACTGAAATTACTTTTCTTACAATTATTCAAAGCCAGAAAGAAAAGCCAGTTGACTATAGAATAAGCCAAATAGCATAGGCACAGCTGGACTCCCTAATTACAGAATAAAGAATTTTAAGATCCAGATCTAAGATCCAGATTCACTAGAAATCATCAGACACCATTTACTACTGCAGTGTCTTCCAGATCGGACTACTTCCATTGTGTAGAAGGCATAAGAATTACCACATTTTATCTTAATTTTAATCTCAAGCATAACATCCTAGGATATTATTGGATCTTCCTCTTAATACCATTATCAAAGTTTTTTTGTCCTTACAACAATACAAATATTACTGATGTTTGAAATAAAACATTTAGTTACATCTTTAAAAAAATTCAGTCATGTGGTAGAAAAATTAATTTAAAAAAAATGAAATTTGATTTATATTTCAGTTACATCTTTCCACAAGATGATTTACATTTTGCACACTTATTATCAATTAAGGTATTAATATAGATAGGATATATCCTATCCAAACAGCCTATGCTACAAACAATAAACATTCTCACTTGAAAATGTACTTTCAATTTGTGACTGACTCATTCTAAAGGCTCTGTATTAGAAGTAACATATGAACATAATTTCCATTGTAAGTGTTAGAAAATTTAATATGCTAACATAAATAAAAAGGGTGAAAACTATTATAAAACAAATATTAAAGCACAAGTAGTATTATTATATGTTTTCAATAGGTTGATACAGAACAGCTAATAATTAACTTAGTCTTATACCATTTTTAGAACATGACATACTTGGTTGCTACACTATTATCTGATACTAGGGCCAAGCACCTAAGATTTAGCAGATGCTAATACATATCAACAGCTCTCTGAGAGGTCTGCAAAAGATCTGTCTACATCTCAGTTTTCTAAGATCATGTTCCCCCAATTTTTCTGTGCTTATTTTTTTATAATCTCATCATGCCTAGGACATAACCATTTTCCTAATTTTTAAATTTTTATCTGGAAATAAGTTCAAATGCTTGCAAAAGTTGAAAGAATAAAAATAACACAATTTCAAATATAGTTTACCTAGGTTCATTGTTAAAATTTTATCCCAAATGCTTTATCATTTACTCACTCTCTCCCTATGTATATAGTACGTATATATTTATAAATGCACATGTTCAGACATACAATATTTGCCAGAATATTTAAGGAGAAATTATGTATATTCTGGCCTTTTAACTCTAAACACATTAGTGAATACTTTCTAAGAACAGGAATATTGTCTTAAATAACAGCACAGTGTAGTTATAAATTTTAATACATTTAACATTAATATATTTATCTAATCTACTATTCCTAATCCAGTTTTGTAAACTGACCCAATAGCGTCCTTTATAGCAGAGGTCCCCAAACCCCAGAGCCACAGACTGGTAATGCTAGGAATGGGGCCACACAGCGGCAGGTGAGCGGCAGGCAAGCAAGTGAAGCTACATCTGTATTTGCAGCCACTTCCCAGCGCCAACATCACCATCTCAGCTCCATCTCAGATCATCAGGCATTAAATTCTCATAGGAGCACAAAATTCTCATAGGAGCACTGGTCCCTGGAGCCACAAAGGTTGGGGATCGCTGCTACAGTATCCCCCAACACCCTACCCCCATACAGCTGTCCAGGGTCAGATATTGCATTTAGTTGCCATGTCTCTTTAAGCCTCCTTTAATCTGAAATATTTCTACAGCCTTTCTTTATGACACTTTTAAAGAATGCTGACCCCACTCCCTTTTATTTAGTAAAATGTTCACTTTGGGTTTGCTTGATGTTTCCATACAATTAGATTCAGATTACTCATTCTTGGCTGGTATACTATAAAAGCAATGATGTGTCCTTCTTTGAATGGCACAGTTGGAGGCACAAATGTTCACCTGCTTCACACTGATGATGTTAATTTTGATCATCCAGTCAATATACTATTAGTAATGTATAAAAGTTGCTAATTTTTCCTTTGCAACAAATATGTAATCTGTGGGGAAACATTTTAAACCATGCAAAATCACGGCCCTTATCAAAATTTCTGCCTAAATTAGCACCTTGATCCATATCTTTCCCATGATCTGTGCAAAATGCTGATTTTTTTCCCCAACACTAGCATCCCCTGTATAATTACTAACTGACATTTGGCCTTCTACTATAAGCATAAGCCCCCTCTTCTCCCTTTTCTTTCCTCCTTCTCCTCCTTCCCCTCCCCTCCCCTCCCTTCCTCTCCCCTCCTTTCTTTCTTCCTTTCCTTTCCTTTTTCCTTTCCTTTCCTCTTTCTTTCTTTCTTTTTTTTTTTCTTTCTTTCTTTCTTTTTATTTTTTTCTTTCTTTCTTTCTTTCTATCTTTCTATCTATCTATCTACCTACCTACCTACCTACCTGTCTGTCTATCTATCTGCCTGCCTATCTATTTATCTATCTATCTATCTATCTATCTATCTATCTATCTATCATCACTGGTATAGACTTATAAATTCCTTTTTTCCCCCCAATAATTTCTAATTCTTTACTGTAATTAATTATTTTCATGCATACTTTATTCCAGGTTTGACCAGGTGGAGCCTATATTAAGGGCATAACTTCATATAATTAAATAATTTTTCTCTCTGAGTAGACGAGTCCTACGAACTTGCACTGGGCACAAAGTAGGAACTCAATAAATTTATTTTCAAATAAATGCTTGAATGAGTAAATCATTTTCAGTGAAGATTTCTCTCCCTATACTTTAGTTCTACTTGAGGAAATCTCTCTAAATATGTGAGATTCTACAAAGAGAATTCAGCTAACATATTAATCAAATCTATTAATTAAATCAAATTACATATAGAGATATGTAAACATCCATTTGTTTCATCAAACAAGAAATTTTTAAAGGCTCTGTATTTGGAATTACGTTAATTTTAATTAAATCTGTTTAATCTGTTTTACCTGTTTTGGTAAGCAACAAGCGCAAACAATAAATAAGAAAAAATATACATTCCAAATTTCCATTTAACTTCAGAGCCAGATTAATATATAAGGTATAAGTTATTGCTAGAAAGACCTTGTACAGGTGTTCCATGACCTATAGATTGCTAACTACATTATTTATTTGCATTGTTTTATTTCCCTATCAAAAAAGCCAAAGGAACCCAATTCTAAATCCCTGCTTTACTGTTTACCTCTGAAGCAACTGTTACTATTATCAGCAAAATTGTTATGTCTATTAGAGAGAATACATGGACATCTTCCAGCATAATTCCTGGCATACATATTGCACACATTCACGAAATGCCACTACTCATTCTTCTACTCCTTGTTCCTCTTCCTGATGTCATCTTACATATGCAGAATTCTCTTTCTATAGTATATTTAAATTTTTCTTGTTTTTAGCTCTCAAAAGTTGTTCTCGCTTTCAATTACCAATTTTTGTCTTAATTTGCTCTCAGGTGTATCTTTTTATATCTTCTCTCCTCTCATTTTAAAATTCATTTTGCTCTTATTAAGGATTCCTTTAAAAGCCTCTGTCATTTTCAGTCTGATCTTATGTTCTCCTCCTGTATATATTTTACTATGTAAAAGAAAACTGTCATAGTTTCAAATTTAAAGTGTTATCTTAGAGTTGCCATTACTGACAAGTTTAAGGTGGACGCTGAGGAAGTAGCAAGAGTGAGAAGAAGAGACATAATATCCTTAAGTACTCCCTGGAATAAATGTCAAAATAGAGAGAACACTAACTAGTTGAGAACCAAAGTGCTAAATATGTAGAAAGGCTACAAAAGGAACACTGTTATGTGCCTCTTTGAATCTTAAGCAGTCCTGAGCAGTGCACGGGCAAAGCAGTGACAGTGCTGTTTGCCAATTACTTCCATAACTACCTTTCTAGTCATAAGATAGAACTAACTTCTTGGCCTCACTGGGGTAGATGAAGACATGATTAGTCTGGACAGTAAGTTCTGAATGAAAATGATATGTCATGTGTCATGACAAGAACATTAAATTGCCAATGTGAGACATTTCAGAGCTTTCTTTTCTCACTAACAAGGTTTAACTAGCAAAACCTTATATGCTGTGCTGTCAGCTTGAGATCTTGAGTGACTGGCAATTAGAGGCTACAAGCCAACCAGTTAGATAGGCAACATAAACAAGAAATAAACTTTTGTTATTCTAACTCCTTACTGTCACTGCAGCATAATCTATCTTACCCTGACTGATAAAACAGCTTTCTCAAGGAAAATTCAAAGCACTGTCTCCCTGGGAAAAGAGACATATTAAAGCTCAATAGAAAAGAAAGTATTCAGAACGTCATTAATACCTTACTATTAATAAACAGTCAAGAAAAGTATTATGATAGTGTAATGGTTAATCTTATGTGTCAAGTTGGAGGGTGTTTTTGGATGAGATTAACATTTAAATTGGTAAACTCTGGATAAGGAAGATTGTCCTCCAGAAAGTACCTCATCCAATCAGTTGAGAATCTGAGTAAAGAAAAAGACTGGCCTCTCCAAGCAAGGGGGAATTAATTTTCCAGCAGACTGCCTTCAGACTTCATCTGTATCAACAGTTCTGGGTCTCCACCTTGACTGCCTTTGGATGAGAATGCAACATTGGCTCTCTACCAGTTTTCAGAATGTAACTGCATCATGGACTTTCCTGGGGCACAAGCCTGTCAGTCCACATTGCAGAATTGAATTGCCAGCCTCTAAATCACATGAGGCAATTGCTTATAATAAACTCTTTCTGAACACAAACAGACACACTCTACTGGTTCTGTTGCTATGGAGAACCCTAATAAAGACAACTTCTCTCAAGGCAAAAAGGAAAGCAAATGTATAAATAAGCAGATAAGATTGTTATATGTAATAACTGGAGTATCTGTTCCTGTTATTCCACTTCTTCTTGCTTTAACAAAGGATGCATTATGTCAACAAAATATCACTACATAGAACATAAACAACAATTACTATATAGTCTAGATAAGTATATTTATTTAAAAATATATCAATTCTTCACCTGGTTATTCATGCTGGCTATTCAAAATGGGGTATACTACCCTAAAACCCTAAAAAGCCTATAAAAACCACGTATTTCAGTAATATTGCAGAAAGCAGAAATTATTTATAAGTGGGTTAGGTTAAATCGAAAATGAAAATGGAAAAATCTTGAGATTGAAAGTATAGCAGATTTTGGAAACCTAAAAAGAGGCCCAATTGTGGGTGATGATACCAATCTTCCTATTCTTTATCCACAGCTAAAAAAGACATATGAGTTTAAAACTCTTTTCTTTGAACTCTGCACTGGTAATTATGCTATTGTTACTAACCTCTGAACCCATCATCCTATATTTTATCTGCTTCGTGATACTGGGAGAGGTGCTCTGCAAACTATACTTATCTCTTTCCAGCTACCCCACTGTTGGGTTCACCAATAGTGGGTACTAAAAGGAGCCTGAAAGATTGAAAGAGCAAAAAAGGAATTGATTCTTTATTTCTTATTTTTTACCAGACAACAGTTCTTAATTGTAGTATTTGTAGTTGGTTCCTGTCTTCAGCTTATTTTTGGTAATCTCAGAACCAGCCTCTTTAGGGCTGCTCAGCAATACCCACATCAGCTAAACAAGGCTCCTTCCTCAGAGGTCCAAGCCCAGCACAATAGGACTTCTTCTCCAAACCTCTAGTTTCTGATAATTCCAATCTCTTCCCTTTGTTCCCATAGCCCTAGGGAAGTAGCTGCTTCCTGAAGTTACTGTTCATACTATGTCAGTGTCCCCCTCTGTTTTTCCAATTCTCTAATACCTATTTAACAATTTTCTTGTATTATATTCTATCTTTTAAAATACTAGTATGATTTCTGTATTCCTGACTTGACCCTGATTGACACAAGCTCCACAATTAAAAATAAAGACAAAATATTGTTAAAAAATCATTTCCAAATTATGAAATATGCTTTAAAAACAGAGAACTTTCCTTGAAGAATATATAATCTCTACTTGAGGCTACTGTGCTTTGACATTTTCCTATCTGATTGTTATCATTCAACTGCATTACAAAATAAAAGTTCTGGAAGTGGCATTTATCATGAATTCATTACCTAGAACATAGTTCTCTACCTCAGAGACAGAGATAAGGGTTGTCTTATACACATCTTACCAACTGTTTTCATAGAGAAATAGACCTGCTTTGAAAAATTGCACATATTATGACATTCAGGTTTTGAATGAAAAATTAGGATTTATAAGACATACCCTGAAATTCTATGCCTCCAATTCCGATATGGATCATATAAACTTTCACAAAATGCTAATGCATGGATCACAAATTCTTCGATAGATGTCTGATCTGCCAATTCCTTCTCTTTTTTTTTGCTTTTTAACTGAGAACAAAGTTAATCATAAAATTATATTTAGTTAAAAATATTAAACTATATATAACATTCTTACCTACATTAAAGGACTACATGTTTCATTCATCATCTAATAATAAACACTGTCATTCAAATAAGCCTACGTTCCGTTCTAGTCTAAAGGTAGTTGATTAATCATATGGACTAACTCTAGCCTCTCGAATTTTATATATTTTCTAGGAAGGGATTCCAATGAATCACCAAACATCTTTCCAAAACTGAATATCTTTTCAATAAGAGATAGTTGATGAATAAATAATAAATACATAAAACAACAAACTATCATTTTAAAGCCATTTATAAAACACTTTAATTTTTTAATTAAAACAAAATGTTAATTGCTTCTCTACTTTTAAATAATATATGTGAGATATCTGAAGTATATTGTACCAATATTTTTAATTCTATACCCAATTACTGTCTGTCATCTAAAAACATTTAACTTTATTAACTATATTTTAAAAAGTAAAGCCTAGTTACTCTCAGTAAAGCAACAAAAAGGAATATATTAATTCACACGTACTTGCTGAATATAGAGTGTTGTCATAGTGATGACATGATTGATATAAGAGCAAGTCCCAATTTCTTCTACATTAGACAGATTTCTGTGAAAAAAAGAACACATGCATATTTATTATGTATGAATAGTGAGAAAAAAATATGCTCATTTAGATTGAATTTTGAAAATACATGTTGGCAAATGAAATACAAATGACAGTTATTAGTTTAAAATCAATAGTTACGTAACTGCATTCTCATTGAAAATATGAAACACAATTCAAGCTCTATTTATACACTATAAACAGAGAAGATATATAAGACATACATGCTGATTAGCATTTATTTATCATAGAAAAATTGGAAAATATCACAAAGTAGAAACAGAAGAGAAAAAAATCAGAATATTCTTAGGGGTTTGGAGAAACATGGCGGAGTCAGAGACGTCTTCAAGTCTCTCTCCTTGAAACAACAATAAGCTGAACATCTAAAACTCAACAAAAAACACTCAAGCTGCATACTAGCACGTCTGAGCATAGGATCTGCACACAAGAGCTACAAAGCGACAGTAATCAAAACGGCATGGTATTGGCAGCAAAACAGACACAGACCAGTGGAACAGAATCGAGACCCAGAAGTAAACCCACATTTATATGGGCAAATAATTTTCAACAAAAAGCTGAAAACATACAGTGGAGAAAGGAAAGCTTCTTCAATAAATGGTGCTGGGAAAACTGGAAAGCCACCTGCAAAAAAATGAAACTAGACTGTTGTCTATCACCATACACCAAAATTAACTCAAAATGGATTAAGGACCTGAATAAAAGACCTGAAACAATAAAATGCATAGAAGAAAACATAGGAACGAAACTCAAGGACCTTAGACTTAAAGAGGATTTTATGAATTTGACCTCTAAGGCAAGGGAAGTAAAAGCAAAAATAAATGAATGGGACTTCATTGAACTAAAAAGCTTCTGCTCAGCAAAAGAAAC